AAATGTGCCTCTTCTAGTGGTATTTTTCCTTTCCTGGAAAGATATTTAGTTTAGCCTGTCTCAAGGAGTGGTAATCCATACTTTTGAAACTCAGAAGTTGTGGTGTTCCACTGCAATGTGGATAATGTGTTTCAGATGCCGCCGTTGCGGATAACTTACATCCGCGGCCTTCTTCTCCGACAGTTCCAGTTTCTCCTGAGCGTCCCTCAGGGCCTCCGAGTACTTGTCGAGCTCATCCTCGGTTCCCTTCAGCTTCTTCTGCAGAGCGAGCAGCTCATCCTCCAGCTGAAGGAAGGCAAAGGTGACAGCGAGTCAGGAAGGATTCAGCAAAACCAAACCAAATAAACACTGATTTGTCAAATCCAATTTGCTTTGATTACTCGGGGGGGAAATGTTCATTCGTGACATTTTTAGAGTAAAACCACTTAAATAGACCTTTTTAATCCCCAGAACCACCCTGAGCAGGTATAAGGATTACAATATTAGCCATATTAATTTAATATATTAGCATGCTAACACATTAATTGGCAGTAAACAACAAGTACAGTTTAGGCTGAAGGGTATTTGGTCATAAACTAAAGGACTGGTGAAGTTAGCATTTGGGTCACAGGCCCCGGATTAAAAGTCTACCAATGCCAATGTCACCAGTGTTTGTGAAGCATGAACATCTGAACATGATTTACTAACAATCCATCCTGTTGGCTGTTTAAACATTTCATACAAAGTGCACCTGTGATCTACACAAACAGCTCTGGAATGTTTGTCTGTGTATTCCCTGTTTCTGAAGAAGTCACTTTGCTGCAGAATTTTTTGAATGCTCTTGTAACTTTTGGTGAGCCGGTCCTTTTATTGCTGCTGGAGACGGTTGTCTGTGATGTAGGTTGAGATTGTGCATTACGTTTGGCCGTCCGTCAGCCTCACAGCACTCTAATGTTCCTGCCATCGACCAAGAATAGCAAAGAAAGCATCTCTTCGGCACTTCTTGAATCGGCGCCATCCACACAGACTAAAGAACTGGGCATAGTCTCCTAGGAATACTTGCTGGGGCTCCATGTGTGCAGTGCCGATGACAACTGTCACTCCTTAGGTGTGATCAGGGCATTAGAGATGAGAGAGAGGAGTCTTTCCATTTTTTCTCCAACTCCCTATAGTCTCCAGCATTCCTCTTGCACAGTCACTAGGATAACACAACTATATTAGCTCCATAGACTCACATCTCATATTGCACCTTCAGCTCCTTGTGTCAAGTATTACATGTGCGCTATAATTAAGTCAGCTATAGACATCTTAAGCCGTCCGATGTTCTTGCACTGCAGCACAGAATATGGATGTGCAGATATTTGTGCTGTAATTTGTGAGCTTTCTGTTGAGAAATTCAAGGCTCGGTTCTGAAGATAAGACGGCCGGCTAATTAAGTCCCGTCCTACTTAAGAGTCAGAGGAACCACTGCTATGGACCAGTTGTTTAAACTCCTGCAGGACCACTTCTGGTAGCAATCCCTCACTGCGGATACTCGTCCGCCCACCAAAAGACTCGGGGGCTCAGTATCAACTGATCTCTGTAATTCAGCATTTGGTGCCTTGGGAAATGCTTGACATTTTAAATTAAGCCCCTCAGCAGTCTTTCCCCCCGAGAGGTTTGGTATTCATTTATTCCTTTATTTAAGACCAGATCTATAAGAAAAGACTGTCTTAATATTGTGTTTTCACAAAATAATCTAAAATAAAGCTGGTTTATACTGAAACTACTTTGGTTGGAAATCATTGTACACAAAATGTCATTTAAATTAATCCATTTAATGTTACACTGTTATGGAGTACATCCCAAAACACTTCATTAACTAATTTAACAAAGTATTAATCACAGTTTGCTTAGATTAAGCAATTATTATTGCGGTAGCTCTATTATGGGATCCATAAAGTCGATCTCATTCTATGCATATGAAAGTCAATCGATTGTGATATCTCCTTATTCTCCAACTAACTGTAATAAGTGTTAAACACTGCTCTGTCAGACCGTCCCCTCCACCAGCCTCGTCTCACCAGCTTGCATTTGTCCTCCGCCGCCTTCTTGTCCGACTCGGACTGTTCTGCCCTGTCGATGGCGTTCTCCTTGTCCAACTTCAGCATCTGCATCTTCTTCTTGATGGCCTCCATGGTGACGGTTGGGTCTCGGCGTGTCGCGTGTTTTTTCGGAGGAAACTATTTCAGTTTATTGCTTCAGGCGATGGGTGTTCGGAGGACGCCGCCTCACCACGAGCCCGCACAAGGTTGACGGGAAACAGAGCAGATGCAGAGAGGAGGAGAGAGCCGGGAGGCAGAGAGGAGCGAGAGGGCAGAGAGGAGGATGCACACTGAGAGTTGACTGGAGGTTCGGAGACTGCCCCAGTCTCCAGTGACAGCCCTTTCCCCACTGTTTACCCCTTTCTCCACTCCCCGCGTCGGCTACTCTAGAACTGTGCCCCCCCCCCACCCCACCCCTCTGCCCCCTCCCTCAAATTAACTTCACTTCTTGAGGGCTGTTTGGAGGTCCAACATGGTGTACATCTCCTTATTTTGACCACGGCCCTTTTGTTTTAAAAGGGACAGGAGAGAAACAGCAGATCAGAAGAAGGAGAATGATCCAGAACTTAGGCATCCAGTGGACATTGTTCACATTAGTAACTGGAGTTGTCCCCCCCCCCCCCCCACACCCCCTTTTTGTCTGCATATATATATTCCTGGGCTCTTAGTTAGGAATGTTCAAATTGATCTTAATACCAGAGTTGGTTAGGAAGCACGTTCATTCTTTCAGGACTTTCATTCTACCGCTGCATGAAAAAATGGCTTTTGGAAAATGATCCAGCCGAAGAAGAAGCTGTCTGCATGTGATCTACAGCAGGCCGCCGTCGAGCTACACACTTAAACTACAAGTCCACTGCAATTAAGAACCTCTCAACCACGATTGGTCCGAAGGACCTTTATTTAGATCCGTCTTCTGTTGTTTGAGAGGCACACAACATAACGAGCATTGTTGACTGGAGGATACAATTGTGTTATTGAGATTATTTTGGTAATTTCATTTATTAAATTACATTCAATTATTTTTAGATTAAAATAATGGAAAACAGCAAGAAAATTAAGTAAAAACATGAAAACCATTTGAAATAGATATTGATCATTTAAAAAAAAAGTTTGATTAATCTTGGTGCATACAGAGTTCATTTTGAAATGGCTGTAGTGAGCTGAATAGTTCTGTGTGTGTGTGTGTGTGTGTGTGTGCTGATGACATCAGCGCTAATGGACCTGTCTGCTTGCTTTCAACTCTTCTGTGCCAGTTGCCCCGGCTAAAAATAAAGATTACAAGGAAACTCAAAGAACCGTGAGGCTCAAAGTGGCCTTTTAAGCGAAATCTAAAGATGGACTTGGACGCACGCATGTTGTGTTTTTCATGTTGCGTTGACTCTATTGAAGTGTACATCCCCTTATTGGAGCTCATCCCTTATCTGTAGGAGCTTTTCGGATGTTTTTGAGAAGCATATTGCTGCCGTCTACGTGATAAAAGTCTGCTTCTGTTTAAGTTACATAGATCCCAAAAACGCCTTAAATGACATTAGAAATGCTTTTTTGCCAAGCTGTTTTTAAAAGTTGTCATTGATGTCTTTCACAGGACAGTCACGACATATCAGATGGGATCATTTGTTGTGAGGTCAACAGATCAAAGCGCATCCAAAGAAATGTAAATTATTGTATTATATAGTGTTTGACTGAAATCTACCTAATTGAATGCCAGCAGATACATTGATGCAAAAATATGTGATCTGTGGTTCAGACCGAGATTGCTGTAATCTTTTACCCTTTTTTAAGGTTATGGAACTCTATAACAGCTCCATCCCACTTTGGACGGAGCTGAACTTCTTTCTAAGAACCTGACCCAGTTTCTTAGTGGACTTAATCCATGACCCAGAGTTCAGACCAGGGAGCAGAGTCGCAGTCTTACACACTTCTCTGCGCTTCAATCTGAGCAGTCACTCAGCATAATGAACCCTATAGAGACCTTGTCTGCCCCACGGACACACTTATCTAAGTTAAAGGTAAACAACCGAGGAGTTGTAGTAAATAACTTAATTAAAGTTAAAACTAATAATGCAATAGTGCAACAAAATAGGAGAATTAAAGGGGGTCTTTTGAATATCAGATCTCTGTCATCTAAAGCTGTTTTGGTAAATGAACTAATATCAGATCACCATGTTGATGTATTTTGTCTTACTGAAACGTGGTTGTTGAATGGGGAATATTTCTGTTTAAATGAAGCGACTCCTCCGAGTCATGTTAATACTCATATTCCCCGAGGCACAGGCCGAGGGGGGGGAGTGGCAGCTATTTATGACTCCTGCCTTTTAATAAACTTTAAACCTAAGGTGGATTGTAACTCATTTGAAAGCCTGGTTTTCAGTCTTTCGCAACCGACCTGGAAAATAATCCAGCCGGTTCTCTTTGTAATAGTGTACAGGGCCCCAGGTCCTTATTCAGAATTTCTTTCTGAATTCTCACAGTTCTTAACGAGTTTGGTCCTTAAAACGGACAAGGTAATTATTGTGGGTGACTTTAACATTCATGTGGATGTCGACAACGACAGCCTTAGTACTGCATTTCTTTCATTGTTAGATTCAATTGGTTTCTGTCAGTGTGTAAATAAACCAACTCACTGTTTTAACCACACTCTCGACTTGGTTCTTGTGTATGGGATTGAGATTGAACATTTAACAATTTTTCCACAGAACCCTCTCCTGTCGGACCATTGTCTGATAACCTTTGAATTTCTACTATCAGAACCACCTCCTCCTGCCAAAGGTTTCTACAGTCGACGCTTATCGGATACCGCTGTAGCCTTATTTAAAGAAGCCATTCCTTCTGCTCTAAGTTCAGTGCCCTGCCTCAAGATACAAGAAGACTCCTGTGAAAACCTCAGTCCGTCTCAGATCGATAATTTTGTCGATACTGCTACAGGCTCTTTGAGAGTGGCGCTGGACGCTATTGCTCCTCTGGAAAGAAGAATAGCAACAAGAAGGAAGTCTGCTCCGTGGTATAACCCTCAAACACGGAACCTAAAGCAAACTGTGCGGAAGCTTGAACGTTTATGGCGTTCCACCAAATCAGAAGGATCTAGGCTAGTTTGGCAAGACAGCCTTAAAACGTATAAGAAGGCTCTCCGTAACGCAAGAGCATCTTATTACTCATCATTAATAGAGAAAAATAAAAACAACTCCAGGTTTCTCTTCAGCACTGTAGCCCGACTGACAGAGAGTCACAGCTCTGTCGAGCCGTGTATTCCTTTGGACCTCACTAGTAACGACTTCATGAACTTCTTCAATGATAAGATTCTGACTATCAAAGAGAAAATTGATGGTCTCCTGCCTTCAACCAGTGCCGACCTGTCCTCCTTGGATGCAGCAGTGGGCCCTGATGCCTGTTTGGATGCCTTCTCTTCCATCAACCTTGATCAACTGACTTCTTTATTTTCAAAGTCTAAATCTTCTACTTGTCTCTTGGATCCGATTCCGACCAAACTGCTTAAGGAAGTTTTTCCTTTAGTTAGCACATCCTTATTAGATATTATGAATCTGTCTTTGTTAACAGGACATGTACCACAGTCCTTCAAGGTAGCTGTAATTAAACCTCTTCTTAAGAAACCTACTCTTGCTCCAGAGGTGTTGGCTAACTACAGACCTATCTCTAATCTTCCCTTCCTCTCTAAGATCCTTGAGAAATCCGTCGCAAATCAATTATGTGACTTTCTACAAAACAATGCTTTGTTCGAGGATTTCCAGTCAGGATTCCGAGTGCATCACAGTACAGAAACCGCACTGGTGAAAATTACGAATGATCTTCTACTTGCATCGGACCAAGGACTCATCTCTTTTCTTGTCTTGCTGGACCTTAGTGCCGCATTTGATACCATAGACCATTGTATCCTGTTGCAGAGACTAGAACATTTAATTGGTATCAAAGGAACTGCACTCAGCTGGTTTAAATCCTACCTATCGGACCGATCCCAGTTTGTGCTTGTAAACGGTGAATCCTCAAAGACCACCAATGTTGGTCACGGAGTCCCACAAGGTTCTGTACTTGGACCGATTTTATTTACCCTCTATATGCTTCCTTTGGGCGATCTTATCAGGAAACACCGCATAAACTTCCATTGTTATGCAGACGATACTCAACTGTATCTGTCGATCAAGCCAGAAGAGACGGACCAGTTAGTTAGACTCCAAGAATGTCTTGGAGACATCAAAACTTGGATGACCGGCAACTTCCTGATGCTAAACTCAGAAAAAACGGAAGTTATCCTGATAGGTCCAGAGCGCCTTCGAAGCCAGCTGTCGCGTGATACAGTTTTTATGGATGGAATTGCTCTGGTACCCAGCAGCACCGTCAGGAATCTGGGAGTTCTCTTCGACCAGGATATGACCTTCAACTCGCATATAAAGAAGACTTCAAGGACTGCCTATTTCCATCTACGTAACATATCAAAAATCAGGAACTTCCTGTCTCAAAGTGATGCAGAAAAATTAGTTCATGCGTTTGTCACTTCCAGACTGGACTACTGTAATTCTTTGTTATCAGGCTGCTCTTATAAATCTCTTAAGCCTCTCCAGATGATTCAGAATGCTGCAGCACGTGTATTAACAAGAACTAAGAAAAGGGATCACATCACTCCTGTATTAACTTCTCTGCACTGGCTTCCTGTTAAATCAAGAATAGATTTTAAGGTACTTCTCCTCACCTACAAGGCACTTGCTGGTGAGGCACCGTTGTATCTTCAAGAGCTTGTAACACCGTATTGCCCTACAAGGCAACTGCGCTCCATAGATGCTGGGTTACTTGTTGTTCCTATGGTTTTAAAAAGTAGGCTGGGGGCCAGAGCCTTCAGTTATCAAGCTCCTCTTTTGTGGAACCAGGTTCCACTTTCAGTCCGGGGGGCAGATTCGGTCAGCTCTTTTAAAGTAAAACTTAAAACGTTCCTCTTTGATTCTGCCTATAGTTAGGGCTGGCTCAGGTTAGTCCGGACCAGCCCCTAGTTAAGCTGCTATAGGCTTAGAATGCCGGGGGAATTCTTAGGACACACCGAGCTCCTCTCTCACGCTCTCTTTCTACCATAATTCAAGTTTTATTAATGCACATGACTAATTCAGCTTCTTTCCGGGAGTTTTTTTTGTGCTTTCGCCCCTACCAGGTCTCCATAGATCGTGGTTCCTTCGGGACCCTGGTCCTGACACCTACCGTGGCCATGCTGACGCCTGCTGCTGCCGTCATCATCATCATCATCATTATTTTAGACATTAATCATATTACTTTACTCATAAACCGACATTACCCTCTCCTAAAATCTCTGTGCTCTCCCTCCCCACAGGATTCTGTGGATGGTGGTTCTATCTGATGGTGGTTGCCTCTGCAGTGGTCCTGCTGTGCGCCTG